TTCAAACTCAAGTTACTAATGCATGCCTAACTGAAAATGTTAAAAGTTTACACATAAAATACACATAATACAACGTTTACATTTAAAAATCACCTAAGTTAATAGTCCCAAAAGGTGAAGCCGGTTGTGATTGGAATTTTGATTTTGATTGCGATTTTGATTGCCTTTTTCTTGACACCATATGAGCTTTGGATTTTGATGAGGATCCATATTTTGGTAGAGGAAAAGAGGATTGTGATGGCACTGGTGATCCACATGTCAACCTTGTATGACCACTTTCCTTGCACCAATTACATGTCGATCTCTTCTTCTCTTCACCCTTAGACGGTATACGATAGTGACTTTTTGGTCGGCCAGGTAGCCTTTTGTCCATGGCTGGTGGCAAAACTGTTTGTAAGTCATCTGATATGTCCCACTCAGAAGGATGTGGAATAGGGTAGATAATCTCGGCATAAGTCTGTCGATATACTTCTGTAGTGTAGCAATCCATACCGTATGCGCTTGAATCATCTTGGTTTAGATGAAGAGCAACTTTTATAACATGGCCACACGGATAACCAGATGTTTGCCATTTCATACAACTACACGTCTTTGCATTTAGATCGACAAGCCCATTTAAGTTATTATCCAGTACTTCAAACAAAGTGTTTGAACATGATTCAACTCTCTATGACGTTGACTTCACAACACGTTTCGTTATCTTTTTTTCAGTCCATGGTGTAACACGATGTTCCAATGTTCCTGTAAATTTAAATAAATAATACTTAGTAAAATATAGGATAAGTTACGAATTTAAAGAAATAATACCTGCATGGTTTCTTTTCTTATAGTACCACTGTTGAATAGAGGCTCGAAAAAACTCCATTAATATAGTAATGGGTAATTTCCGGGAATGACGACTTAGAGCGTTGATTGATTCTGCACTATTAGACGTCATGAAACCATATCTTGCTCCAAGTTGATGTACTCTTGACCATCTTTCAAACCCGAAATCTTCTAGTGTTTGAGCACGTTGAGGCAAAACATGTCTTAAACAATTTATATGCTTATTAAAATCCACTTCCCGATAAGCTTTTACAGTCTTCCAGTATGTCCATTTGTGATTTTTATACCAGCAGACCTTGATTTTAGATTTCTATACAAATGAACACCACAAAGTCCATGAAAAGCATCTGGGAAACACCTTCTAACAGCATTGTCAATTGAGTTTGCCCTATCGGATATGATTGTCAGATTACTAATAGGACCTATTCAATCTCTAAGATGCCCCATAAATCATGTCTATGAATCAGAGGTTTCAGATTTGCCAACCCCGTAAGCTATTGGCAGTATCCCATTATTAGCATCCATGGCTACTGCTAATAAGTTTACTCCAAGGTATCGACCTTTTAAATGTGCTCCGTCAACTATAATAACTGGCGCATGCAAGTAATAAATGAACGAATCTACAAAATCATATACACAAGAAATATAATCATTTAAATGTGAAATGCATGTAACTAACAAAAATGAGTCAACAAAATTATATTGATTTACTAACCGCAACACCAATGGCGATAAACAACAACTCAAAGCATCCATCTCTATCTGTTTTGATATGAGTTACCGACCCAGGATTTTTCAGCTTTAAATTGTGACAATAAGCCGGCAGTTGGGCAAACGATGCTTCTGGCGACCCCCTCAACAATTCCAAGGAATAACATTTGGCTCTCCAAGCTTGAGAATACGAGATACTAATCTTGAACCGAGCATTCATGTCAGTCATAATTTCATGTCCCCGATATACCCTGCCATTCAAAAACATTAACTCAGCCAGAAAACCACCCAACACCTTTTTATTTGCCTATCTATGGTGAGGAAAAACTTGGGTTCTTGAACATGTATGTTTATCAATAAAAGTCCTAACTTTAAACATTTCGCAATCTTTTATCCTCTTTGCAATCATACGCCACGTACAGTTTTTTTCAATCATACACCTTGTTTCGAAACGATCTTTGCTTGATTTGTTAACTTTTAGTTGATAGCCATCTTCCACACATTTCGTATACAAATCTATCTTCAAGTCTTCCTTTGTATCAAAACAATCATCTTTCTTGAAACGAATAATTTTTGTGTAACAATCAACTGCTATCTTTACCAACTCTTCTTCCGGTATCTGAAGTAATTCTGGCATATTCCAGTTATACTCCCGTGGCATTTTCTTCGGGGACTTTTCTTTGGGGATTTCTTCTTCTTCTTCTTCTTCAGGGTTATATGAATTACAGAATGGATGTTCAACATGTTTATTCACAGTCGTAACTTCCTCCTCATTAGCATAAACAACATCTTTCTCGGCAGCGGCTGTTTCATCATCAAAATTCGGGTATTGACCAATATCAAAATCATTACACGCAGGGTCTGTTTCTTCTTCTGAAACATCATCAAAATCCGAGTATTGACCAAGATCAAAGTCCGGGTATTGACCAAGATCAAATTTCGAATACTGACTAGTACTTACAATTTTTTCTGTTGGCTCATCATCATCTAATTGGTCAATACGAAAACCGGAATTTGGTGCTAAAAGTTGATTGAGATTTGGATTAGGGAAAGGTTGTGGGTTTTGAGATTGTGTTTGGTATTAGAAATGTAGTGAAACAAAATTTGCTTGGTGATGAAATTGTGGTGGAACCATTAAATTTTGAGCACCATAAACTGGGGTTGAAAAACTTAGTTGATTACTACCCGCTACTGACCCAACTTCACTACTTCTAGGTTCAACAACATACAATGTAACATCATCTTGTGAAACACTAATGTAAGCAATGAATCGTTCAACATCTTCATTGTCGGTTAACAAATAAACTTTACCTTTTCTATGATAATATAGCCTAAATCCACTTAAGGGCTCTAAATTCAATTTATTTGCAACACGTAACATTAGAGTTTCATAAGTTAACTTTTTTATGACAATTTTAGTTGAAGATTCATGAGTAAATGCATATATTGTAAAACACCATGAACATTCTCCCATGACCCTCCAAAACACAAATCTATCCAAACATGATCAACATTAGATGATTTCATTATTGTAAATTAATTTACTAAACAAACGAGCTGCGAAACTAAAACCTGTTGCCGGATGGGGAAGGATGTCGTTGGATATAGGAACGGATGTCGTCGGAGAGAGTGATAGATGGAGATGAAATGAGTTGCGATTTAGGGATTTAGGTTATGAGTTGCTTCTGCTGCGTAGTTATATACCCAAAACATTTGTGTTGCGAAACTAAAACATGTTGCGAATTTGAAATTCAGTGTTGCGACAGTCAGAATCGTGTTGCGATAGTCAGAATCGTGTTGCGATAGTCAGAATCTCGTTGCGATAATCAGAATCGCGTTGCGATAGTCAGAATCACATTGCGATAGTCATAATCGTATTGCGATTTACATATTCGCATTGCGATTTACATATTCGCATTGCGATTTACATATTCGCATTGCGAATTCGGAAAATCGCAACGCGAATTTGGAAAATCGCAATGCGATAGTCAAAATCGCGTAGCGAATCTGGAAACTGATTTGCGATACCGGAGATCGCATTGCAAATTATCGATCGCATTGCGATTTAGTTGGTCATTTTGGCAAATCCAAAAAAAGTTGGTTAAAATCGTATATTATAAGGCATTTTTGGTCACTGAGATTATTTTCTCATTTTTTTATTCTAAACGCCTTAGTGGGTCAAAAAAGCCGGGAAGTCGCGCCTAAAATTCTTGGGCCGATCAGGTGAAACCATCACAGCATCTTCTCCATATTCATCCTTGTACAAGCTGCAGACTTCAAGGAAATAGTATTTTGTCTTCGCATTAAGCTTTACCCGCCACTCAAAAAACAAAAGAATTAGTTTCTAAATTTGATAGCTCTGAAGAGGCTTTTTTGAAATCCATGAGCAAAATGTACTGCCTCAATTGGGGCAAGTAAATAATTCTTTCAAATTATATTACAATAAAAACAAGATTACTAAGTATAACATACTTAATTTAGTAATTTGCTAGTTTAAGGTCTCGAATGTGTTATTTTAAAATATTTTTTTGAAAGTTTTATAATTTAACATTCTTTCATACTATTATATATATATATATATAAGTAATTTTTTATATTTGACAAAACTTTTATAATCTACTTGTTTAAAGTTTGGGTGTTTAACACAAGGATACACGAAAAAAAGTTAAAAATCAAGTCAAAAATCTCAAATAAAAGGTATAAACGAACATGTCCGATCGCATCGTGAATGAACTACAAAAAAGAATCAAGTTATTGAAAAATAACCGACATTCCGCAAATCAGAATTGAACGACGTGAGAAAACTATTCATGAACATAAATCACGTATCCAAATCTAATCTGAGAGTTTAAAGCATGGAAGATCAATATGATAACAATAAATCACTGAGATCAGTCTCGATGATGTCATATTCAACTCTAAAAAAAATAAACAAAAATAATAGTTAAACGATCGAAACTATGCCAAAAGACAGATGAAACGTGCCATAAAAACCGGGGAAATATGTCATACATGAATAGTTATTAAAAAAAGAAAGATATAACGTTGTAAAATAAAGAAAATTATGGTTGAGAACTCTACCTATAACAAAGTTTATTTTTATTTTTATTTTTTTTATAACCACTTATATCTGATATGTTGATCAGTTAATTCAGATATGGTACTACATAAGTAATGGTGACCCTCTCAATCTCTCTATTCGATAAAATTTAAACTCTCAAGTCTTAACCTTACTTAAGAGATTTAGTGCACCGTCTCAATATACCAACAAGGTATTGATATAAGGGAGAATTTTAGTTGTTCATGTTATTTTAAGTTTGAATCATTACTAAATAACTAATTTTTATGATGAAATAAAATTGGATTAAATTTAAGTTGTTTGGATTTTGAAAATGGAGTTGGAATTGACATGTTTAGGCCAATACTAATTAAAGAATGAACCCACTAATTTGGATTTGTGGCTATTTAGGGCTCAAGCAAGAACTCCAACCTCTATAATCTGGAACTAGAGAAGATATCACTGAAGCAGCAAACAATTCACAATTGAGAAAAAATGAGAAAAACCCTCGCTCGTCCCCACGTTTAATTCCATCAACGTCGGATATCATGGTCGACCAAGCTCATAAACCGGAAGAAACAGCCCTTCCGAACAACTTACAGCAACACCACAAACAAGACGAAGAACGACAACAACAACAACAATCAGTACTAGAAAATGCAGAATATGAAGATGAAGAATTACATAAGCTTCTAGTCCCTGACGTAACCCAACTTCCTCTTACTCCCTCATCTGCTGTTGAATCCAACTTTGCCTCTTACTTTGCTCCAGGTTTCCCCCATTTTTTTTCCAATTCGTATTGAATTGTCTAATTTTTATGGGGTTTTCTAGTGAAACCTTTGGGCTCAGGCTCTTTAAAGTTTGATGATTTTCTTATGTAGACTACTGGTTTTGTGTCAAATACATTGGTTAACTACTTTTTTTCATTATTTTCTATGCATTGGTTAAAGATGTCACTGCAGAATCATTTTTTATATAGTGTCCTGAGTGTGTCCTCTAATCAATTTTTTCACAGATTTTATGAAACCAGGGAACGATCAGTATGTTTATCGACATCCGAATGGGTAAGAATTCCAAACTTTCTTTGGGGTTTTTATTGAAAGAATGGGAATTTTGGATTGAATGAACTTAAATAATCTAAATTTGTAGATTGTGTGTTGTTGGCTTGGCTTCGACTCACTCGGCATTTAAGGATAAAGGTGAGGTTTCTGCCGTTGATTTCAATGTTGGTAAATCCGATCGCAGTGGTATGAAAGTCACCGGAAAGAGAAAGAAGGCGAGTTCTTTTGGGGTTTTTTAAAGTGGTTTATCCGTGTGATATTATTTGTTAGTATTTCTTTCAAATTGTGAAGACAAATAGAAGAATTCATTATCACTTGTTATTATGATATCAAAGAGTTTAATTTATTTTATGGAGTCTGAGCATTTAGCTTTGATGGAGTCCTATTGAAGTTAAATATGCTACTCTTGTAGAATGCTCAACACTTCGAGTCCAATACAGCTTTGTGCAAAGTTTGTACCAGTGATGATTCATATATTATAAGGTTGATATGATTATTTTCGCGCAGCATCTCTCCCTCTCCTTGTTTGCATTTTTCCGCATTGAAATGAATAGCAGTTTTGGGCAGGTCTTGTGTTAAAGGCTCCCTTTTGGAGGTGAATGAAAGATTGATCAAACAGCCAGACCTGCTTAATTCGTCAGTGAGTATAACTTGGCTACACTTTTTTACTACTTTCTCAATTTATATGTGTTCACAACATTGGAATTTTGTGGTGAAAACTGAATGCTTGTGAGTTGCGGTGACTAGCCTTTCATCTCTAGTACTCCATGTTCTTCTCATTAATTTAAAAGGCGTATGTTAAGACAAAAGACTATCAGTATTTTAAAGCATGGCATGATTTGGTCAATTACATACTTTGCAGTGTGTTAAAAAAGAGATGTTTAAATTTTTTCTTTCCGAATCAGAATATGGAAGAATTCTAAGTTATAGCTGGTAACCTAAAGGCTTGTGAGCTCTTCCTTACAAAGGTTGAGCGTGTCGAATAAAAGATTATAAAAAACATATGGTTTTTGCCACTGGGTACCGCAACTATAATTGCTTAAAACTTCTAGGATAGAACCTTATATGGCTGTCTTATTGTGCTGAGTAAATTTGGAATTCTTTTAGTTCGACAATTTTTCCAAGTGTGGCAAAATTTCTTCAGTTGTTAAAAAACCTGGATTTTTTGTTGTTGTTGTCTGCAGGCAGATAGAGAAGGATACATAGCAATTATAATGTCAAAGCCAGCAGACTGGCTTAAGGTGAAGTCTTCCTTGTTGAGCCTTGAAGAATTGAAGAAATTGAGAGAAGCCGGCTCTATACTTCCATCACATAATTCAAGCTGAAGGAATCCCTTTTCCTAATAGATATTTGCCAGGTTAAGTTCGTCACCATGACAAACTCTATACTTCTCCAGACCTAGATTCCGGTTGGGTGAATTATGTAGCACTGCTCCATTTTTATTTGTATTTCCTTTAGCTTAATAGTTGAAGAACAAAACTTTGTTTTGTTTTCTAGTTCCATGAAATAATAAAAGCAGAAAAGTAAGCCATTCTTCAACTTTTTGATGCAAATGGTTAATGATGTTTAAATTTAAAGTTCAAGCTTCTCTATGCAAATATACACACACGCAAAGAACTAGCAATGGCTAAACTCTATAGCAGTCAATTCCTTTTGCCTCGATAGCTGTAAAGCCGAAGAACTGACGAACTTTAATCTACCTGGCACATTAATTATGCCACGATCAATGCTTTCACTACATTATAAGCATTACAAAGAAATCTTCATGAATGGCACTGCTAGACTATGGCTGTGAATCAACTATTTCTTCGATAACGTGCCTTCTCGACCTGTTGATTGTGTGAAAACATAGCTTTGTATGTTCTTCAAGCTCTTTCAGTTGCTCCAAGAAACTCAAATCGCTTATACGGAATTCTCTTACAACCTCCTCAAGTACCTCAATCTTCCCGTTTCTAATGCACATATCAGCGATGGCTTTACGGTGCTCGATCTCGTCATGTAGTCTCCATACCAGTCTACTTATGGTATCGAAATCGTTGATCAAAATGTAAATCCCTTTAGCTGAGATATCAAGTTGCTCACTAAGTCTTTCGAGCAAGCGAGTAGTAGGCCCTTGCTGATGAGATGATGATTGGGTTTTCTTCTTCTTCCTAATGCATATGAACCAGGCTGCAAGCCCTGGTGCTGCTATAGTTCCGAACACGCTGTGGAAGGCAAGTATCAGTAATGCAACTACAAGAGCTGTATGAGAAATTACTAAACAAAGACCCCCAATCTGTTTGGAGATTCTTTTTGATTTCGCTTTTCGTCTTATCTTTTTGCGTTTCGACTTAAGCTTTCGAAACAAATCCAGGTTATTCTCATGAATCTTCCGGAACTGCAATGGTGTAATGATCGACAACGGGTTTTTAAGCAATGCAAATCCAGTTAGCTCCTCAAGTATAACGCTGCATTGTTCATCTGAAAAATCCTGAACCCTCTTGCTTAGCTTGATTACCTTTCGAATCCTCTGATAATAAACTCGGGTCTGGTGGATGCTTTTAAGGATTACTTCGCATAAATTACAAGTTTCCAAGCCGGCTTCGAAGTAATCTAGAAGAAGGTGATGAACATTCAAGCTCTCTTTCTTGTCCAATATTTCTTGCCTCGGTCTAAGCAAGAATTCCGACAAGTTTATATGAACATTAGCAATCGAGGACGTTGAAGGTAGTTTATCAAAGCCATGAACTTGACTCCACATTTCCACATAAGACTTTGTTCTAAAAACTTCCTTGTATTCTTCATTAACATCTGTCTTGTCACTCAAGTTACTCCCATTCTTCATCTCCGATCTGCCTGGAAACAAACAAACAAACAAAAACCCACAACTTAAGATCTACAAAAACTGAAAAAACAGCAAAACCCAGAAATCCATTCATGTTATAAATCGACTGACCTGATTTTAGCTTCGGAAAATGGATCATCTTCATCAAGCTTTTTCTTTTCTGGTTTTCTTTCTAAAACCTTCTCACATAAAATCAGTCTGAACGAAATAGATTGGGATTTTGATTGCTTGAGCGAATATTTATACATGCAGAGTTCGATGGCTTGAAGGGTTCGAAGAGGTTAAATAATATGAACAAATGACAGTTTAATCAGAGGGTGGAAAGCTTTGTAGCTTTGATCACACGATAGCGTCGCTCGTCACGGTTGTTTATCTACGTGTAATGGCTTGGGGCTTGCTCTTATCATAAAATAGCGCGCCAAAGCTCGGAGGTTACGAGTTTTTAAGTTTGCTCATACGCTATTAATTTCTCTAATTTTTCTTTTTTTATTTACCCATTTAAAAACAATGTTAATAGTGTTTTTTTTAAATTAATAAATTATTTTTCCTTTTCTGGTAAATCATGCTTTAAAGTTTAAAGTCTAACCCTATAAGTTAGATGTGAAGATGCTGACCATTATTTCATTTATGCTTCAAGTTGAAGCTTTTTTTTAGATTTTAAAAAATAATTTTTGAAATAATTACTATTTCAATTTAAAAGGTAATAAATAAAGAAAATTAAAGCGATAATTGTTGTATATGGTGATTGGTGATCTTTCACAAAATAATTACTATAAGAATATGTAGTTTATTACTCGTGTAATTTTCTTAATTCTTAATTTTATAAGAATCGAGAAGTATAACTGAAATGTCTTAGTTATACTTAATCTTTAGAGAGATTAAGCTCTAATAAGATTTAAGAGTGTCTGAAATTCGATTTGATTTTAAAAAAAATTATTTTGAGTTATTTGAATCGATATAATTTTTTGTTAAGTAAGTTCAAATCAAGTTTAAATTTTAAAAATTAAATTAAAAAATAAAACAAAATTGCTTTGGTATTTATACAAGTAATTTGATTATTTTCTAATTTATTCTTTATTTTTTTTTTCAATTTCTCTTTCGTTTTAAGTCTATTTATGAGAAAAATCGATTCATATACTTCTCAACCATTGTGAAATACTTATGTAGCTTCAATTTCTTATTTTGAAAATAAGGTTTTTTTTTCCAATTTAATTCGTCAATTTTACTTGTTTTCCTTATTTCTCAAACTGCTCCTTCGTTTTAAGAGTTTCTTTTAGCAAAGTTGAACTAGATGCTACTCTACCAATGTAAAATACCTATGTAATTTCAATTAATTTTTATGACAATAAATTTTCTTATCTTTCAATTTAATCCATTTACTTTATATTTTATTTTATTTAGTCACCTAACATCAACTCTTTGCAAATTCTTTCTTTCCATCAATTCATTAGCTCATTTACACTCACATCAATATTATATCCTTAAAATATATTCTTTGAAAAATAGTAGTATAAATATATTATATGATTTGATGATATTTGATTTGTTAAATAACATTACAAAAATTAATAATATGTATAAAAATAATAAGAATAACTAAAAAAACAATTACTATTATAATATTATAAGTAATTATATTCAAATTTAAATAAAAACTTAACAAATATATATGTTTTTTTGGTATATAAGTATGAAAACATCTACAACTTTTCGACTACTTTCTCAAAACTCCTTCTATTCTATCCGAATGCAGAAGGTTTTCCGGTTACTCAGGAGAAAAATGAAAGATGTGGGTTCAATTCGACTCGAAAAAAAATTTAAAATAAAATTTTGAATAACAGAATAATAATCATAAACTCAATGAATATAACTTTTTTATTCAACTCAATCAAATATTCAGCTTTAAATAATAACAATACCCGTGCCAACTCATGAATACACCACTGTTTAGATTTTTATTTTAAAAATGATAAGTATTAACTTAAAAGCTATTCATCTCTACCGATATAAACTACATTGGGAGCTATAAGAGTGTTATACGTCAACACTAAAGATAGGGTTCAAACCTTTTGTGCGGGGCTAATTAACCGTGGTATGTTTTTATTTATTTATTTAAATATTAATCAAAGAAACATGAAAATAGACTAAAATTAATTGTAGTAAAAAAAAACTTCGTTATTAAGGTATAAAATAATAAATTTATAATTTAATGTGGATTTCTTTATCCTTGTTAAAAAAAGAAAAGAAAAAGCCCAAGTAAACCAAGAGATTAAGAAGTTAAAGCTCAAAGTATTTTGTGAGTTGTTGACTTGCTGGCAAAGTCATTGCATCAATTAGTCCAACCTTAGCACTCTACAAGTTATTGCGTCCACTTCTGATCTTCTTCATTGGATATGCCCAAAATTCAGTCTTTATTTGACTTCTATTTACATTTATTTTATGGGTAAAATATAGTAATGATCACTGAACTTTTCTAAAGCTTTCATTTAGGTCCCCCAACTTTTAAAACTTATAATATAATCCCCCAATATTTAGTCTATTTGCAATATGGTCCCTCAACATTTAGTCCATTTGCAATATGGTCCCCGACGTAACTATTGGGGGACCATATTGCAAATGAATTAAATGTTGAGGGACTGTATTGCAAGTTTTAAAAGTTGAGGGACCTAAATAAAATCTTTAGAAAAGTTCAGTGACCATTACTATACTTTACCTTTTTTATTGGATTATTGTCCCATACATGCATCGATCATGAAATAGTCCGAATTTAAAATTTAAATATATTAAAATATTTCAACAAAAATAATTATGAAGTATTTTTTTCACTGTCAAATAATAAATATTTTAATTTTATCCCTTCAAAAAGAACTTCACTCATGATGGTTGTAAACTTTTAAACCATGTTTGCACTTGTATGAAAATATGTAATTATTATTCTTATAATTATATATGAATGAATAACAATAATATAATCACATTATAATATTCTATATCATATTTAATAGTATAAGTTATAATTATATATTTATATAAATTTATATTTTAAATAATACTAATTATGAAATTAAATAATATAGAAACACTATTATTCATCTCTTCCGAAGAATATAATTGCGTGCTTTCGATTATTACCTGATTCAGAGAAACAAATAAATTATGATAATTATCTAAGCTAAATACGTCACAACTATATAATTACACTAAAACCTAACTACATAATAATTTTTTAAACAAGTCCTTAATCGACACTATTATTAAAATTCGGTCATCAATTCAATTAAAAAACTACTAAAATAACCTTTCTTTTAAGTGATCCTTTCTTTTAATATCGTAATGAAAAAAACTTATCTATATTATAATCACATGAGTGTAATAAAAATCTAATAATCATATTCTAGTGTTGCTTTTGATAGAACTTGGACTGCTGTCAGAGTTAGAAATGTGAAAGTTCCCTGACATAACTTGGTCTGGCACACCCTGCACATCCTGCGAAATTCTATGATTGCTTAGATGGTTATTTTAGATAGATTGCTACGAGAGATAGGCTGTTCTCTGTTGATCCGCAAGTTGAGAGTGACTGAGTTTTCTGTGATGGTGATCAGAAGACGAGATCATGTGTTCTTCTGGTATTCTTATTCAAAAGAGGTTTTGAGTATTGACCTGGGCTGCTTGAAATCTGAAGCAGGGGTTAGAGGCCAGGGCTTTGAATTCAATTGGGCGATCAATAAACTTAAGGGGAAGTCTCTCCTCACTGTTCTACAAAAGATTGCGTAGAATTCGGTCATTTACCTATTTGGCGGGAGAGGAATACGAAGATATTTCAAGGGAATTAAATATCAGTACATGAGCTGGTTAGTCAAGTTCGGGATACGATTGGGTGGCGATTGCTGGATAAAAATATCAATAGGCTTACTTCAATTAATAATAGGTTGTACATAGAATGGAATCTGCTATATGTTGCTGGTTCGGTATAGGCTGTTGTATTGTATTGTATAGTGGATACTTGCTTTGTTTATTTGTAATAGGTTGGCTACCCTTGGAAAAATGAAATTTGCATTTATCTAAAAGAAATCTAATAATATTTTAATTTTTTTTAAAGCATTACTTCATTGAACGATAACTATAAGATATTATCCATAATTTATTTATTGTTAAAGAACATTAAATTAATTTACAATTGTTAAGTTTCTTGCACGATTTTGAGACAAATTGTCTACTGAATTTTATTTCATGGATGCTTTGAAATTTTCAATCAAGTGGTGACACCGGTTCCCTTTTGTTGTGTCTAGGCATTGTTTGTATTTGTCTAGGTTTTCTCGTCTCTTTATATTAAAATATGGGTAAAGTATAGTAATGGTCACTGAACTTTTCTAAAGCTTTCATTTAGGTCCCCCAACTTTTAAAACTTGCAATATAATCCCTCAACATTTAGTTTGTTTGCAATATGGTCCATCAACATTTAGTCCGTTTGCAATATGGTCCCTGACGTAATTGTTGGGGTACCATATTGCAAACGAATTAAATATTGGAGGATTGTATTACAAGTTTTAAAAGTTGAGGGACCTAAATGAAAGTTTTAGAAAAATTCAGTAGCTATTACTATACTTTACCCTTATTTTAATTAAACGTGATATTTAATTTATCATTAAAAGTTACAGAATAATTCTCTGATTATAGGACGTTATTTTGTTGAGTTCGGTGACTAGTAGAAGTTACAAAATGAGCCGAGATCACTCGGCTATTTATATATTATAAACTCATCTTTTTGATTAAAAGTTGACGACAGTCTGAACTGGACTGTAACTTATTGATGCTTAAAATGTTTTGTTAAGTTCGTTGACTATTAAAAGTTACAGAATAATTCTCTGATTATAGGACGTTATTTTGTTGAGTTCGGTGACTATAGAAGTTACAAAATGAGCCGAGATCACTCGGCTATTTATATATTATAAACTCATCTTTTTGATTAAAAGTTGACGACAGTCTGAACTGGACTGTAACTTATTGATTAAAATGTGATAAAATATGATATCAAAATCTCAAGTGATTATCATATTCCTGAGTCAGACGTCTAACTCAGACGATCGTTAATTTTTAACAGAAAAAGACAAATTTAGAATATATAAGTAGTTGGATGATCATTTTATAACTTTTAATAATTGAGGG